CAAACACCTAGGGTGTTACAGCCCTCCCCCTTATAAAAATCTCGTCTCAAGATTTGATAAGCGTACCATTGTTGATAGAATTCCTTATAACCTTCCCTCAAATAATCTTCTCTTTCCCAAGTTGCATCGCGTTCACTACCCTAATTACTCCACATGACCTTGTAAAACTTGACCACCCGACTCCGAGTCACTCGCTCACGAGTGTCAATTACTCGGACCGTGCCATTTTCTCATAGCGAGAGCCTTTCTTCGCATTTTCTTCTTGCCATATTGAAATCTTTTTTATCGACAGGTCCTGTAACTTTGAAACATACTGAGATGAATCTGACGGGGAGGAAGAGGCTGATTTCTTAGCTTATCTTTTAGCTGCATCCCTCCCCATAGGCCTCTTGCTCCCTGAGTACTGAGAAGACGGTGTCTTCGGGTCATGATCGATGTTGGGAATGTGATCAGCTATTGCATCGTCATCTCCAGGTTGTGCCCCTCTGATGTTGAGCTCCATCCACTTAGGCTCGTCCTTCAGCAAATCCCAGCAATGCATGTAAAAAATGGGTATGGTTCGATGTCTGCAAAGTTAGCTAGAGCTAAAGAGGTTTGCAAAAAGGGTACACAATGTTAGAATTATGAAGCAAACTGTAGTTGAAACCAAATACCAATAACAGATTGTCTCCCTCACCTTATCTGCATCACTCATCCCGCTCGGATTGTCTTGAAGAACATTTGCCATGTGCCCTGCAAATTTACTCGCTTCAGCCTTGATAGTTTCCCAACGACTCTGCAGCGATCTGAAACTTCTCTCAGAAAAGGAACCCCTCTTTTTATTGTACTGGCTTGTAATTCTAGCCCAGAACCCCTCCTTCTGCCCTGTGTTTATAATTGGGTCACAGCTAATTTCCAACCATGACTTCACAAGGAACACATCTTTTGGGGAGAAGTTGGATAACTTGCTGCGACTAGGTACGACCTTGCGTCGTCGACCAGCTACCACTGATGCTCCTTCCCCATCACCCTGACTCTTTTTCATTACTGCTTGTTCAACACCCTCGACCGTTGCAGCGACAGGCTGATTTTGAGCATGGGGTGTATGAGATGATGCTGGAGTTGGGAGTGGCATGAACCCTTGGTTCAGAGCTGCGGTCCACCCTCCCTGGAAAAATGGGTACTGCTGAGCAAATGGTTGCAACCCTGGGTTCCACCCTCCATAGAAGCCTAGAATTGGAAGACTCCGGCCGAAACCGGAAATGTCGTCACTAGCTTCATCACAATTATTATGATTCATTCTGCAATAACAGAAGAACATCCGAATTCTTTAAGCAGCAGGTGTGCTGGTCCTAGCATTTCTAAATTTGCATAGTATCTTTGCTCCCTTTATCTTAATGAATGGTAGAACTCTTGCTCTATTTTAAAACATGAAGAAAAGACTGTAAGATTCTAAATCTATAAGCATATCATGGAATAATTTCATACAAATAAATGTTACAAGCAGGAGGAACAAAATCAATCAAAGCTTCTGATGTTTTAGATAACTAGAAGAAGAATTACTTAGCACTAGACCAGAATCAACCGAATTGATGGCAAACCATTTAAAATTCGACTTGGGATTAGAACTCCCATGGGATGAAATATCTAAATTACCGATTTGCTGCTCATCAGAACATGGCCAATTTAATTCTCCAAGAATCCGAACTCCCCAGTTCTGAGGCTGAATACATGGAGAAAGTATCACATAGGCGTGCCGGGGGTGAGCAAGGCGGCAGTGCTGGAGGCCGAGCGCCGCGGCGGTGCCGGGGGCGAGCGCGGGGGCGGGCCGAGGGGCGAGCGCGGCGGCTCGCAGCGGGGACGGCGGGCCTACCACGGTGGGGCCACTGCGGCGGGTCGCAGCGGCCACGGCGGGCGAGCGCCTCTAGATCTAGAGACTGCACAGACTGTAGGGATAGGGATTACCTTCTCCATCGATGGCGAATGGGCGACCGCGCTATAGAGCTCTCCTCCGAGTCCGTCCGCGCCCGCCTCAACTCTCTTCGCCGCCGACGACAGGGTGAGTGACGCTTCCTGGCCCCCTTCGCTGACCCGCCCCTGCACTCTCCGGCGGGCACTGCCTCCTTCCCTCCGTCCCTAATTCCCTCGGATTTGAGGGAGACCGCCGGCTTCCCCAGGATGCCGTCGGGGAGGACGTGGACACTTCGCAGGGCTGCCGCGAGAGGAGCGGTTGCTGCGGTGGATAGGATAGCGGTGGAGAGGACGGATGCTGGGTTTGCAGATTCCCTGTAGCGAACAGAAGGATTGGGGTGCAGATAGAGTTGTGCGGTGCGAGAGTCTGGAATGTATATTTGCAGTTTAGGGCGGTTTGGAGCTGTGTGGTGCAGACAGACTTATTACTGTGTGCGCAGGATCTAGTGGCTCAGCGCGCGCACTCGCCTTGGCCGTCCGATGCGCGCGGGGAAGAAGGTCGCCGTCAGATTCGTGTTCGCGTCCACCCGCGCACACCGTCTTCTTCCTCGCCGTGGCCAGGCGGTCGGAGAGCACCAGAGATGGCAGAGTGGCGGAGCTCGCGCCGCCGTAGGCCACGCCCGTGCCGCTAAGGCCGCAACACCACCGGAGACGGAGAAGATGCTGCCCACTCCGGCAACTGCACCACCGTCGCCCGACCGATGCTAGGGTTCTGGCGGCCGCGCCCCACCCTTCTTCCCCAACTCCAGCGGGGTATAGAAGGGCCGGCCGGGGGGAGGCAGGTAGGCCAGGCGGTGGGGAAGGTCGACGGGCGGTTTAGGGGAGCTGGCCGCGGTCGTGGCGGCCAGGCCAGGTCGGGGCAAGGGCGCCATGGCCGGAGTTCGTCGGAGTTCGCCATGGCAGCATGCGGGAGGGGGTGGGAGGGAGGAGGAGGGGAAGGAGGAGGTCGCCACCGGCGGTAGGCGCCGGGGCGGTGGTGGAGGCGGGGGCGAGGTTGGGTCACCGGATCTGGAGGAGGCCGAGGTCGCGTCGCCATCGCCGTCGCCGGAGCTGTGCGGGACTGTGGGGTGAAGAGGCGGCGTGGGAGGCAGAAGGAGGGCGCGGGAGGAAGAAGGAGAAAGCGTGCAGGCGGTGTGGTGTGTGGGTGCGCGTGCTGCCTCTAGTACTGTCCATAGAATTTTTCTGTCTATATTTGAAACTGTCACGTCATCACGTTTCATCAAAGATTATTAGCCGGACGGGCTCGCATGGAGGACATCCGCTTGGTGGCAGCCCCGGGCTGCTCCTGGCCAGGAGGCCAAACACTGCTCTTGTGCGGGAGGGCAGCGGCCGGCCCCTCGGCTCCGGGGCTAGCTGCTACTGCTAGCCCCTGGCCGCTCGGCGCCCGCCTTTCGTTCACTACATGGTACGAAAAGTTAAGATCCCAAGGCGTCAAGAGGAAATGGAGCACCTGTGACGTAACAACGCGTGCAGGAGGTGCTATACTGCTATCAATACTGAAACAAAGATGTTAATACATACTCAAAAATTGCAAAGACCAAAGAGTACATTAATTACCGCGTGCTCCTAGGAACGTCCCTTCGTTTCCATCTCGGAATAATTGTGTGAAACGTTGCTCGGTCCCGCGCCGTTAGACCGAGTCGCGCGCATTTTCTTTTCTTCTCCCGTCGCATGCAGCCAGCAGCCGCGCGCGTTTTTCTTCCGAGCCCGTGGTCCTTCCAGATTCCATGCATGTAGCCGCGCGCATTTTTTCAGCTGCTGGCGCCTGCGCGTATATGAAAAATATTTTGGCTAGTGGCGCCACTAATCGCTCGTTTGTGCTCCTATAAATAGGCAATGCTTATGCACGGCTGACAGGACATTCCTTTCTCTATTCTTCCTACTTCGTTTGAACACCATGCTTAGTTTAGATTAGATTTGAATGCCTACCAACTAGGATGAGATTGAGGAATTTGAGGGAGACGTACATGATTTGAGCTATGATTATGTTTGGGACTCGCAACGAAGGTAACACATGCAAGGAAAAGGCGAGAGAGAGAGAGAGAGAGGGGAGGTGGTAGTCACGAGAGATGCATGCAAGTACTACTCGGGTGCATATGTTCTGGGTTGACGGCCTAGCCGCCAAGAGTAACGGCGCTGTTCCAACGGAAGACGAGTGATACCATATCCAGCAGTAATACGCATGCAGAGCCAAGGAGTCCAGCGCCTTGTTTCCTGGGACAATTAAAAAAAAGTAGTTACGCCTTGTTTCCTGAGACGGAGGGAGTACACACGGACACACGTGAATCGTAAGCACGCATGGACTACAGTTGGTATCTTGATCAGGCGACATTGTATACTTTATCACCTCATTAATCAATCAAACCACGCGTTAAGTGCTATCCAATCAAGTAGCAATTTCTCAAGGACGGTAATTCACCATACAAGAGGCGACCATGCAACATGTATAATAAAATGGACTGAATGAATTCGTTGAAGCACATCATTGTGATCCTGAACTCTCAATCCAACAAAATTATTAGTGACATCAGGACAAAGGTTACTACAAGCCTGCGAAAACATCATGAACTCTGACAAGTTAATGAACTGACATATAAGGCTACATAACAAAATTCATTATCTGATGGATATCATCGTACACATTTTCGTGTTGTGAGGATACACAATTTTGCTGAAAGAATACAATGGCGTAACGGTCAGGCCTAGATCCTATCAAGCTAATCCAATCAATTAATCACCATACATTTTTTTCTTTTTTTTTGAACTTATCACCATACATTCTTATGTTACACGAGACCCTCATTTGGGGTCGACAGCCACTCACGGCACCAATCATCCAAGACACTGCTCTCAAAAACGGCATACCCAATTGCCCTTGCAGTCGCCATGATGGGGGAGGATTGATCTCGCCCTATGAGCAAGATCTGAGTTGAATTCTCTTGCCTCCACCCTTGTATATCTGCTACAAACTCTTCAATACAGGTGAAAACACTTTACAGAGCTTGTAAACTTAAGCCATACAAAAACTAGCTTGCAGTGTGCCAAATGTGTCATGAGTCATGTGAGCCTTGGACTATCAGATTTATGCGCTTGCCGCTATCCATGCGGAGGACATCATTTTTCAGGCCCAACTGGAAAGGAAGATCCGATGAATTGATTGGCAAACATTTTAGAGTAAAACAATCGATCAATGAAATCAATTGGTATGATCGTGTACCTCCACCTGATTGGTATCGACAGAAAACCATCTCAAAAGAACCCCGAGGTGGACCACTGCTGGGATCATTTTGAATAGCAAAGGGGTTGTCACCTGCAGAGGTACACACAAGAGTCAGTTACCATATTGATTTCATGAAACACAGGGTCATCAGATGAGCAGCATGCCAGGATGAAGCAAAGACAAAAGGCAAGACAAGGGATTATGGTCTCAATATATTTTAGTGAACGCCACTAAGATGGGTGCTATTCACAAATTGTCAATTAGACATGTGAAATTATTTCAACATGCCCCTTAGTTTCTTTTATGGTTGTTCAGCCATTTTGTGACCCCCCGACCCATGTAACAAGTGAGATGGCTGATAAGCCCTTGTGGATCAGTTTGGCTCGTGTTGCTTGGACCAGGTTGATGTGCTTGTAACCATCCATTAAGGTTTGTAATAGTTGGGTTTATAGAGTTATCAATTCTGAAGCCAACTGTGTTAGGACTGGTGTTTTTTTCATCACTTGCTCTTCTGCACCATTTGGCTCAGAACCAAACACTAACGAATTGATTGGCAGACAAGGCTACAAACTATATAATTTTTTTAGGATATAAACATATTAAAACCAGAAATAAGAACTATAATTGGAATTTCATCACATAGGATTCCATCAACTTCGTGGAATTTCTAGTGCCAAAGTCTAATGTTCTTGCCTAAAGTGACAAAAGAAATTGTCATTCCTGAGGTAATTTCCTCTTGCCTAACTACATGAAATTGACTCTTTAGCATAGTATTTTACACACAAATAAAAAAACTCTCTTGAATGGAAATTTCATTACAAATAGAAAAAAAACTAATCTCATTTGCACTGAAATTTTGAATGGTAATTCTTATCTAGATAAAATGAATAGCTTAAAAGGAATGGAGGCAAATACCAAACTAAGTGCAGTGGTTCCAAGAAGCAGCAGGTATAGCTTGCCCTGTAAAAACCAAATACAAGCTATCAGATGTCACAAATACAAAATAAATTGAAAAAAGTAGTACTAGGGATTTTGGGCAACTAAAAAGGGGAACTAGTACCAATAGACTGCACTTTGGGCAACTAATAAGGGGAACTAGTACCAATAGACTGCACTGGGAAGTATAATAGGTAGTTAATACTGATACAGCATCAAAAGATTTGCATGCTTTGCTAGACATGCTGAAGTTAAACTTTGCCATCTGAAGTTAATTTATATACATCAGTGCTTACAAGAATAACAAGGCAGCATCACTGAAAGAATTATGCATTTACATGTACTTTATGCTGAAGGATAACAAGGTCCCCATAGCTTTAAGTTGTAAGCACAGTACATGTAATATTGGGTTGGCTACCAGAGAAGCTAGGGCTACAAAATTACAAATGGATAACCATGTTTCTTGCCTGTGGCATAACACAAAAAATGGAACACAATATCAAGAAAATAACCTCGATGAGATGGATACTTGAAGCACGGCTTAGGAGAACAAAAGCAAACTCTCCTATTTGTGCAAGAGACATGCCGACCTATGGGGGAAAAAACACGGTTAATGTGATTTTATGAGCAGTGGCAGATGTGAGTGCATTCAGAAAGATATGAATAAAGACTTACAAGAAGAGATGTTTTGTTGCTATACCCAAATCCTTTTACGACAATAGCAACAATAAAGGTCTTTACGGTGATCACCAAAATTACCGCTGCAAGGAGTATATCCACATGGTTCCACAAGAAATGGACATTAATTAGCATCCCAATGCTGGCAAGGAAAAGAGCAGCGAAAAAGTTGCGGATAGGTTCGATCTGCAGAAAGAACAAACCTGAAATAAGAGAACAAATATAATGAATTACTAACTACAAGAGTCTAGCTATGAATTTTGCTCAAGCATAAAATAAAGATCAAACTAAAGACTTCCTCCATTCCAAATTATAGATCACATTAGAAATGTCATAAGTCAAACTTCTCTAACTTTGACAAGGTTTATAGAAAAATGCTCCAACATCAAATTGATTTCATTTCATTAAATTATCCATGAAATGTGTCTTGTGCATTTATTTGAACTTGTATATGTTAATATATTTTTAATATTTGGTCAAAGTCAAAGATGTTTTAGAACAAAGCTAAAGTGACCTATAATTTGAACCAGAGGGGCTAGAGATAGTAATTCCCCCTTTTTTCTGGAAAGGGAACAGAAAGAACGTGCAAGTTACAGGTAATAAATTACTTGTTCAAGAGTATGTTGTGCAAGGTCTGTTGTTGATATCATTACTCCAGCTGCAAATGAACCCAACTCGAGACTCAAGCCCAACTTATCACTACACTGCATCATAGAAGGATGGACACATGAGAATAACAAGAAATTTAAGAACTGCATACCTTTAACAAATACAGTTTTGATTATAAAGTAAAGAAATGACAAAGATGTATGTGAGTAAACCGACAAGGCAACCAAAAAAAAAGGAACTGAGTTGAAGCTAACTAGTGCACAACAGTATAATTAGCAATTTTATTAAATCATATAATTAAACCTACTTGACATTTATAGGATGGCTAGGGTTCGTGAGAGAAAGACAAGGGACTTCAACCAAGTTAAGTGCATTAAGGATGAAAGGGAGCATCTCTTAGTGAAGGAGGATGAGATCCGACATCGATGGTAAGAGTATTTTGACAAATTGTTCAATGGTGAGAATACGGACACAACCTTTCAGTTGGATGACTCTTTTGATGACACCAACAGGCGCTTTGTGCGGAGAATCCAAGAATCTGAGGTCAGAGAGGCGTTGAAAAGGATAAAAGGAGGTAAGGCGATGGGACCAAATGGTATCCCAATCGAGGTGTGGAGATGCCTCAGGGACATAGCTATAGTATGGCTAACCAAGCTGTTCAACCATATTTTTCGATCGAACAAGATGCCTGACGAGTGGAGGAGAAGTATATTGGTACCGATCTACAATAATAAAGGGGATATTCAAAGTTGTACTAATTACCGGGGAATTAAGTTGATGAGCCATACTATAAAGCTATGGGAGAGAGTTATCGAGCATCGCTTGAGAGCAATAACGCGGGTCTCTATGAACCAATTTGGTTTCATGCCCGGAAGGTCAACCACGGAAGTCATTTTCTTAATAAGACAAGTTATGGAGCGGTATAGGGAGAAGAAGAAGGACCTACACATGGTTTTTATTGACTTGGAGAAGGCTTATGATAAAATACTAAGGAATGTTATGTGGTGGGCTTTGGACAAACATAAAATCCCAACGAAGTACGTCGGGCTCATTAAGGACATGTACAACAATGTTGTGACTAGTGTTCGAACAAGTGATGGAGACACGGATGACTTCCCAATTAGGATAGGACTACATCAAGGGTCAGCTTTGAGCCCTTATTTGTTTGCCTTAGTGATAGATGAGGTCACAAGGGACATACAAGGGAAAATCCCTTGGTGTATGCTTTTCGCAGACGATGTAGTGCTAGTTGATGAAAGACGGACATGAGTGAATCAGAAACTGGAGTTATGGCGGGAGACTTTGGAGTCCAAAGGTTTTAGACTAAGTAGAACTAAAACTGAGTATATGAGATGTGACTTCGGCACTACTACTCGGGAGAAGGAATATATTAGTTTGGAAGGTCAAGTAATGCCTAGGAAGGATACCTTTTGATATTTAGAATCACTGCTACAGAGAGACAGGGATATTGATGAAGATGTTAGCCATAGAATCAAAGCAGGGTGGATGAAGTGGCGTAAAGCATCTGATGTCCTATGTGACAAAAGGGTACCATAGAAGCTTAAAGGCAAGTTTTATAAGACGGCGATTAGACCTGCTATGTTGTATGGTGCAGAATGTTGGCCTACGAAAAGACGACACGTTCAACAGATAAGTGTCACGGAAATGCGTATGTTGTGTTGGATTTGCAGTCATACAAGAAGGGATCGAGTTCGCAACGATGATATACGTGATAGATTAGGGGTAGCACCAATTGAAGAAAAGCTTGTCCAACACCGGTTGAGATGGTTTGGACATGTCCAACGGAAACCTCCAGAGGCAACGGTGCGTAATGGAATCCTAAGCTAGGATAATAACGTGAAGAGAGGCAGAGGAAGACCGAAGTTGACTTGGGTAGAGGCAATAAAAGGAGACTTGAAAGGTTGGAATATATCCAAAGACTTAGCCTTAGATAGGAGTGCTTGAAAAACAGCTATTCACGTGCCTGAACCTTGATTGCTTCTGCTGGGTTTCAACTCTAGCCTACCCTAACTTGTTTAGGACTTAAAGGCTTTGTTGTTGTTGTATATAATTAAACCTACTTGTATGGGTACCAATCAGACGACTAATCATATTAGTCATTGATTAGGTCCAATTAGTTAGGTAATCATGCTGTACAAATCTACTAAGTCATCCTAGCACTTGAGCAGTAACAACAAGAGCAGGACTTGACTGGCAAAGGAAGAGGAGCAAGACTTCCCAATGCTGTGCACTACTCTTGCCACCACTCCGTGCCCGGCATGCACAACTCCTTGTCCAGCCAGTGCGAGCGGGCCTCCAGTTGCTCGCATTGCAGCCACATCAACTCCCGCGCCAGTGCCTCCCAGTCCCTCCACAGATGCTCGAACTCACTCTCAGGGTCGCCGCAGGCCCTCACCAAAAACACACCCAGCGAGGCATGAGGACGAACAAATCCAGCAGAGGCATGAGGACGAACGAATTCAGAGGAGGCATGGGGATGAATGGATCCGGTGGGAGCTGATGCAGGCGGTGCTAGGACTAGAGCCAGTGGCAGCGTGACAGGAGCCGGTCGCATGAGAATAAGAGTCAGCGGCATGGGCTCCACATGGGGCAGTACAAACATGGAGTCAAGAACCCAGTCCAGAAACCATTCATACTGAAGACCTGATGGGCCAAATTACTTAGCCCAACTGTTCAGGCGAGCCCAACATCTTTTTCTCACCTTTGGGCCTTCCGGTTAGTCGTCCACAGGTCCCCTAATCATACGACTAAAATCATGGTTAGTCAGACGACTAGGATTATAGTCGACCTAACTGTATCGAAGTGCCTAATCGAGGTCCAGGGACCAATAAGGCCGAGTGGCCGACTAATCATGACTATTCGCAATTAGTCATCCGATTTAGTAACATTGACAATTTGAATTGAACAGAAAAGTACTGGTGCAACAGTTGGATATGAACTACACATTCACTAAACTTTGGGCTTGTTTGTTTCCCTGCCCAGCTATATAAGCTGTCTCATAGGTGCTAGCTTATAGGTGTTAGATGCTTCTATAAGCTGGCTTATAATAATTTTGAGGGAAATAAGCTGTAGGGCTGTTTGGCAACCTAGCTTGTAAGCTGGCTCATAGGTAGTTGTGGATGGCAAAAGGCAGCTTATGGATGGCAGCTCTCCTATGTGATCGAGAAAAAAAAAAGGCAGTTGTGGATGGGAAAAGGCAGCAATGCCCTCAGTTGTTGGTTGTGCGGTTTGTGCCGTTGTGGATAGCAAATGACAGCAATCCTCCAAGTGGGATGGGTAGTTTTGATAAAAAGCCAGAAAGCAAGCCGAAGTAAGCTCCCCCTTGGGCAGTTTAAAGGCTTATCATAATTGATAACCTGGAGTCCTAGCTTATATAAGCCACAAAATAAGCTGTGCTGTTTGTTTAACATTTGAGCTTATATAAGCTAAGGATAAACAAACAGATCTATAAGCTAAATCAAAATCTAGAAAAGTGCAATTGGTAAAGATAACTTCAGGAAAGTAAGTACTGTGTTCCATTCTATCTGTCTTATGTATGAAGTAAGCATTTGCAATACTCCTTTACCGATCCATTTAAAACATAACTTTTAGGCAGGTTTTAGCACATGTAAGCACTTGCTGTGTACAAAAATAAGATCATTTTTCTATGTTACTGTACATTTTTCACAAAATACCAATCTACGAGCAGTAGAAACTCACCCAAGCAAATAACAAGCAGAATGCAACTGATGCCAGCTGGTATAGTTCATTTGTCTGTGTGACATGCAGAGCAACCACAACATAAGATTGCTGATGAGAATGTTCTACAAGATCAAAACTCAAATTGCTAAAAAAATGTACTGCTTTCTTCCCCAATCAAACTTTACCTGTGATGACAGACTTATCATCAGTTTAAGAAACCAAGGAACGCCGGTGCGGGAGAGGATAGAGAGAATGGTCAGGAATGATATCAATACCACCAGCCTGAGAAGTTGTATCAAAGAATTAATTCCACAACTGACTATGTCCTAGAATACTTTTACAGGCTAGCAGACAAAATATAAATGGATAATACAATTAGTAATATTAAATGCAAGATAATAAAGAGATCATAAACTATTAAGGTGAGTTTGGGGTTAGCAATGTTAATCTCAACTGGACCTGCCAACATGTCAAGAAAACATGAACTTACTGTACAAGAACTGCATCAAGTGGATAAGCCGACAAAACAGTCAATTCATTGCAAAAGAAAAATTGCAAATATAAAGGTAACCAAAGTAATTCAGGGCAAAAGGGGGAAGGAAATGCTGCACTTACGACTTGGTCATTGATGCAACTCCGTGAAGAAGGCCAGATGTACCACTCAAAATTGGAAGAAGTGCAAACAGCAAGCCAACAGCACAATCCTGAGGGGGAGAGAGATAGGATGTCACAGAACTGAGATATATTTTATTTTAGAAAAGGAAAAATAAATTTTCCTTGGATCAACTTTTTCTTAACAACGGCAGACACTAGATGCGTGTACACAGATGCATCTTGCACACAAAAGATGAAGAAAGTATGACAGACCTGCAATATAAGCGTCCCGACTGTAACTTGGCCATGAAGAGCATTGATACTATTTCTTTCCATCAGAAACTTTAAAACCTAAATGTACAAAACTTACCATTATTGAATAAACAGATAACCAAGTGGCACACGGCAGCATCAAGAATGACAACACAATGATGTAAAGAATTAGCCTATTGCAGTTGCAAGTGACAAAACATCCAAACATATTACATTCAGGGGGAGGAAGTTCTGGACTTCGCGGTAGCTTTTGACCTGATGATAGCCAACACTTTCTTTAGAAAGAGAGAATCTCATATAGTGACCTTCAGTAGCGGACAACACTCTAACCAGATTGACTTTGTCCTCGCAAGAAGAAAGGACAAACGAGCATGCTTGGGTTGCAAGGTGATACCAGGGGAGTGTGTTGTTTCTCAACATAAGCTTTTGGTGGCAGACTTCCGTTTTCAGGTGCGTGCCCGTAGGGATAAACAAGCTAAAAGATTGAAAGAACAAAGTGGTGAAAACTGAAAGGGGAGACGTCAGAGGTATTCAGGGAAAGGGTTATCAAAGAGAGCTCTTGGAAGGAAGAAGATGACATAAACAACATGTGGAAGAAGATGGCAACCAACATTCGGAAGGTAGCCTCAGAGGTGTGTGGAGTAACTAAAGGAAGTGGAGGCAAGGCTAAAGATACTTGGTGGTGGAACGAGGAAGTCCAAAGGGCTATTAAGGAGAAGAAAGAATGTTATAGACGCTTGTACCATGACAGGAGTGTGGACAACATAGATAAGTACAAGGTGACAAAGAAGACTGCAAAGCGAGCTGTAAGTGTGGCAAAGGGTAGAGCGTACGAGGATCTTTACCAGCATTTGAGTACGAAGGAAGGAGAGAAGGACATTTATAGGATGGCTAGGGTTCGTGAGAGAAAGACAATGGACTTCAACCAAGTTAAGTGCATTAAGGATGAAAGGGAGCATCTCTTGGTGAAGGAGGATGAGATCCGACATCGATGGCAAGAGTATTTTGACAAATAGTTCAATGGTGAGATTACGGACACAACCTTTCAGTTGGATGACTCTTTTGATGACACCAATAGGCGCTTTGTGCGGAGAATCCAAGAATCTGATGTCAGAGAGGCGTTGAAAAGGATGAAAGGAGGTAAGGCGATGGGACCAAATGGTATCCCAATCGAGGTGTGGAGATGCCTCAGGGACATAGCTATAGTATGGCTAACCAAGCTGTTCAACCATATTTTTCGATCGAACAAGATGTCTGACGAGTGGAGGAGAAGTATATTGGTACCGATCTACAATAATAAAGGGGATATTCAAAGTTGTACTAATTACCGGGGAATTAAGTTGATGAGCCATACTATGAAGCTATGGGAGAGAGTTATCGAGCATCGCTTGAGAGCAATAACGCAGGTCTCTATGAACCAATTTGGTTTCATGCCCGGAAGGTCAACCACGGAAGTCATTTTCTTAATAAGACAAGTTATGGAGCGGTATAGGGAGAAGAAGAAGGACCTACACATGGTTTTTATTGACATGGAGAAGGCTTATGATAAAATATTAAGGAATGTTATGTGGTGGGCTTTGGATAAACATAAAGTCCCAACGAAGTGCGTCGGGCTCATTAAGGACATGTACAATAATGTTGTGACTAGTGTTCGAACAAGTGATGGAGACACGGATGACTTCCCAATTAGGATAGGACTACATCAAGTGTCAGCTTTGAGCCCTTATTTGTTTGCCTTAGTGATAGATGAGGTCACAAGGGACATACAAGGGGAAATCCCTTGGTGTATGCTTTTCGCGGACGATGTAGTGCTAGTTGATGAAAGCCGGACATGAGTGAATCACAAACTAGAGTTATGGCGGGAGACTTTGGAGTCCAAAGGTTTTAAACTCAATAGAACTAAAACTGAGTATATGAAATGTGACTTCGTCACTACTACTCGGAAGGAGGAAGATATTAGTTTGGAAGGTCAAGTAGTGCCTAGGAAGGATACCTTTTGATATTTAGGATCGTTGCTACAGAGAGACGGGGATATTGATGAAGATGTTAGCCATAGAATCAAATCACGATGGATGAAGTGGCGCCAAGTATCTGGTCTCCTATGTGACAAAAGGGTACCATAGAAGCTAAAAGGCAAGTTTTATAGGACGACGATTAGACCCGCTATATTGTATGGTGCAGAATGTTGGCCTACGAACAGACGACACGTTCAACAGATAAGTGTCGCGGAAATGCATATATTGCGTTGGATTTGCGGTCATACAAGAAGGGATCGAGTTCGCAACGATGATATACGTGATACATTAGGGGTAGCACTAATTGAAGAAAAGCTTGTCCAACACCGGTTGAGATGGTTTGGACATGTCCAACGGAGACATCCAGAGGCACCGGTGCCTAGTGGAATCCTAAGCCAGGATAGTAACGTGAAGAGAGGCAGAGGAAGACCGAAGTTGACTTGGCTAGAGGCAATAAAAAGAGACTTGAAAGGATGGAATATACCCAAAGACTTAGCCTTAGATAGGAGTGCTTGGAAAACAGCTATTCACGTGCCTAAACCTTGATAGCTTCTGCTAGGTTTCAACTCTACCCTACCCCAACTTGTTTGGGACTTAAAGGCTTTGTTGTTGTTGTTGTATATTACATTCAGGGTTCAAACATCATAATCATATGCTAAATTTCTAAATCAAGATGTACCGACTCCATTTGTGGTACAGGCAAATATTTTTCATATATATGAACAGCAGGTGAGGCCCCTGCTGGTATTTTTTATATATTTTCAAAGAAAATTAAAAGGTTGTTTACAGAAACCAAAATAAGTTCGTGTACAACAATAGGTGCATGCAATTATGAGAAACACACTACGGCACAGCAAAGTTATGAGGTAGTCATTCACAAACAACTATGTATTCAGGCATTCACTTGCTTCGAGATAATTTCAATCACAAAATGCAGCACCAAGCATTTTGTGTGCGTGCACATGTGTGAGCGACAGAGAGAGGGAAGAGAGCCAGGCTACTGGACCAAATAATGATAAGAGTGGCAAGAGTTATTGACACAGTGAACAAAAACATTGATTTCTCTCATAGGCTGCCTGCTGTTGACCTTGACCAGATACTTACCACAGCTGTTGAAGACATGGAGAGAAGAACACCAACGAAAACACCTTCTTTTGTTTTGCCTCCACATAGCTGCATTAAACATCACAAAAGATCTGTCAACCATGCTCTTAGAAATCAAGAATTGAAAAACCAAGGCCATACAACCTAGAAACAGAAAAATAGCTACCATGGTAAAAATGCATCAAATATTTTTCAAAAAAATACTGGCAGGTCCAAGCTCCAGGAAGCTGACTTGGTTACTTCTACTGCATAATTCCATCTAGTTGCTTTTATTGGCCGTATGTTCGAATGAGTTAAGGATGCATCAGATCTTGTTATTCTGATCAATGTTTTATGAAACAATTTAATTATTTGATGTTAGGACATACGGTACACGGGATAGTAGATCCCAATGTTCCCATCAAAGAGAGAGTGATATCTAGGTTCACACAACATAACAAGACAGCTCCAAAGTATATATCATAATGCAGACAACAGAGATAAAACTCACTGTAGCCAAAATACCACAAAGAAACATGAACAGCATAATTTGGAGCAATCCTCCGAGAACAGCAACAGCACGAACAACTCGAAGCTGAGGCAATGTAAAAAAAACACTATGTTAACTTCAGATCACAAATGATGTTACCAACTGAATGAGGGAAGAAATGTAAGTAGAATACTTTTGCAGTAGAAAACTCAAGTCCCAATGCAAACAGGAGAAATATCACACCAAACTGGGCTACCGTTTCAACCTGGAAAAGAAACAGTGGAATTGTTAGTCGCTGAATTCTCACTCTTAGTAGTAGCAGAATTCTTACTTTTATCGAGAGAGGATGACACTAGGAGTTGGGACAATTTTCTATTTTATTTCTCGATGTCATGCCAACCTGAGGGGTTGGGGATACATATTTATAGGCTGCTAGCCAGCCAAGCATATACCAAGATGCTAGTCTAAGATGCTAATATGCTATCCTAATATGCTGTTCTAGCTAAGATGCTGTCCTCCAGTCAGTCAAGGAGATGGACAGCCACAAGGACCTGCAGCCACCATATGCTGCAGCCAACCCCACAAAGACCAGCCAGCACATGAGACTTATCCATCATTCTCCCCCTAAGTCTTGTGTGTCGTCTTGTGGGAAAGTTGAACCATCCTGGTCCTGGAGCAGAGCTCAAGGAACTTGATCCTCCCAAGGGGCTTGGTAAGCAGGTCCGCAAGCTGGTCCTTGGTGTTGATGTAGCTCGCCTTGATGCTCCCTTCCTCCATGCAGCCTCGGATGAAGTGGTACCTCACCCGGATGTGCTTACTCCGTTCATGAAACACGGAGTTCTTTGCCAGGGCCAGAGCGGACTTGCTGTTCACTCTGAGCTCCACCGCTCTAGTGTCTCTGTCGAGGAGATCACCAAGCAGTCGAACGAGCCAGAGCACCTGAGTCGAAGCGGTGGAGGCCGCTATGTACTCGGCCTCGTGGTGGGACAGACCACCACCGCCGCTTGACCGATCGCCAGCCTAACGAGGCACTTGCCGAGGAAGAAGAGGATCCCGCTCGTGCTCTTAATAGTGTCGATGTCGCCGGCGTGGTCGCCGTCATTATGCCCGACGAAGTGTGCCACCCAGGACACCTAGGGTAGTAGAGGCCGTGGTCGAGTCCCCATAGCAACGAAGCGGATGATCCTCTTCATGACTCTTTGGTGCTCGTCGTCGGTCCTTCGCATGAACCGACTAACGAATGACGCGAAGAATGCCAAGTCCGGCCGTGTGGGCGAGGTAGCGAAGGCTCCCCACAAGACGCCGGCTACTGCACAGAAGCGCCCACCTCCTCCGTCGTCTTTGTCATGGCTCGACCTTCTCTCCTCCATCGGAGTGAGAGCTGGGTTGCGATGAGGTGAGCCCGGCTAGCTCAACGACAGCGCTTGGCGAGGGCGGTCTGTCAAGCGTGATCCCGAGTCATCTGGTACACCTCGATTCCTGTGTAGAAGGAGAGAGGCCCTGTGTCCCTCATCGGAAGGTGGCCTTCATCTCTTCCTTGAATGCCGCCACCTCCGCATCCTTGGTGCCGGTGATCACCAAGTCGTCGACGAGACACCAACCAACAGAAGAGCATTTTCTCCACCGCCCGTCGGTAGATGGTCGCCTCGTCGCGGGCTTTGCTCAAGCCCTTCCCTTTAGCGTGGAATCGACTTGGCATTCCACGCTTCTGCGTTCGCCGCAAGCCATAGAGGGCCTTGCGCAAAGTGAGCACCTGTTCTCCTTGCCGGGGATCGCAAATCCGGTGGCCGGTGCACGAGACCTCCTCCTTCAAGTCGCCGTTAAGGAACGGCTTGACATCCATGTGATGAACACGCCACCCTCCCGGCGGCTAAGCGCAGGAGGAGTCGCGACGGACTCCATCCGTGCCACGGAGCAAAGGCGTCGTCGAAGTCGACCCTCCCGCCGTGCCACGAAACCTCGTGCCACCAAGCGAGCCTTGTGCTTGACGATGGCACCGGCTTCATCCCTCTTCGACTTGTACACCCACTTAAGGGTGATCGCATGGTGACCACGAGGAAGGTCAGCCAAGCTCCCAGTGCTTGTTCTTCTCAACCGCATCCATCTCCAATCGCATCGCGGCGCCATGCCGCATGTCTCTCGGCCTCTGCAAACGCATCGAGGCTCACCGCCGTCACACGCAAGGTGCAGCTCGCGCCTCCAGTCGTGAGGCACCGGTCCCGGCACCGGCTGGTCGCCGAGAAGGTACTTCATCGTGTGGTACCGCAACGGCTCGTCGTCGTGGTACGCGTCGACGCGCTCCTCGTCGTGAGAGAGTGGAGTAGCGAGCTCAACCGAGCCGTGCTCGACATGAATTTGGTGGTGGAGTAGACGTGCCCCAGTGGTGCGCTGTCGGTCTTTGGAGTGCATGGCGTTGCTTACCGCGGTGGAGCGGGCGAAGAACTCATCGCAACCGAGGTCTGGCCGGAGAGCGTGGGTCTTTGTCGGAGTAGCAGCGCCGGGTCGGTGAAGGCTCGGGGATGGGGTAGACGCGCGCTCGTCGAAGAAGAGCCGCCTACTCCCCAGCCTCCTCGAAGTGGACGTACTCGGCGGTTGAAGTCGTCAGACGTCGGAGCCGAGCCGTCGTCCACCGCCTTGTCCACGCCCATCCTCGCCTTCGTTGAACACAATGTCGCGCGCTGCGCGCACTCCGCTATGTCTTGGTCGAGGATGCGGTAGGCCTCGAGCCTCCGCGAGCCGATGAACACTCCCGAGTGCTCTCGCCGTCGAGCTTCTTGATGTGACCAAGCTCCTTGGCTAACGCGAGGCACCAAGACCCGCAAGTGGGAGACCGCCGGCTTGCGCCCATGCTAAGCCTCGACGGCCCCGCTGCCGAAGCGCCTTTGATAGGCGAAAGCGGTTGAGGATGTGAGCGGCCGACACCACCGCTCTCCCCGAAGATGCCAAGCATCCCCTCTCGCTTGAGAAGGGCTCGAGCCATCCCCACAACCGTCTGGTTGCGCGCCGACGACGCCTGCTCGTGTGGGTTTGACGGCGCATGAGTAGTGGCGCTGAATGCCCTCATCGGCCATGAAGACGACGCCAATTCACCGCCGTGAATTCGCCATTGTTGTTATCGGTCTGAAGACGCTGTAGCGACTTGCGGCGCGACTCGCCTCGCAGAAGCGACTGTAAGGTGCGCTGATGGCGTCCGCAGACCTCTCCCTTGCCGCCGAGGACCATCACCCACATGTAGCGGGAGAGGTCGCCGACGAAGCAAAGCAGGAAGTAGCGTCGTCCTCCGGTGTGGCGGTGTCACCGGCCCACACAAGTCCCCGTGCACAAAGCCTCTCCTTTGCTCGAAAAGCTCGCATGTTGGGGAAAGGGGAGTCGCCCTCTAAATCAACACGCAGACGTCGCAGAGCCGCTCCACATGGTCGGGCACGCGCAGCCTCGCACCATCTCCCGGGCACCGAGCCGCTTGTGGCCTCGAAGTGAAGGTGCCCGGCGCCGTGCCATCGCCACGCCTCGTTGTCCCGACGAAGCGCCGAGACAGAGGGGTTGTGCCACCGCACGTTAAGGGACGAGAGTCGACGGCGCTCGGATACCTTGGCAAGAAGGCGCGACGACGATCCCAAATCTTCATGACTCGTCCTCAACCACCACCTTGCGAACCGTTCTCATCCAAATTGTCCCAAGCTAATGATAGAGTTCCTCAACGCGGGGATGTAGTAGACTCTTCCGGTGAGCGACCTATGCTCACCAGACACAGCAGTGAAGATGACGGAGCCGACGCCTTGATCTCCACATGAAGGCATCCCCAAACTTGACGGAGCCTCGGACGCTAGAGTCAAGCTTCGGTGAAGAACTCCGTCGACCGGTCATGTGATGGGTGGCGCCGGTGTCGAGGCACCACCGTCGATCTTGTCGTTCTTGAGCCGTCGCCGAGGAGGCGTGTGCTTTTGGCTCGTCAAGGTGGAGGAGAGTCAGCTGCTGGCCGGTCTGCCGGAGGTAGCTCGATGCTTGCATGTGCCATGAAACGAGAGCCGGCCTCCCACTTTGGCGACGTGGGCTGGCAGCGCCGTCGTGGTTGTCGACGATCCTTGGCCCAATGGCTAAGCCGCCGCAGCTGCGCGGCGGCGGCGTCGTCTCGTCGGGCTTGTGCTGCCGTGGCTGGCCGCGCGCCTGGCGCCTCGCGGCATCACCCACGCAGACGTCCTCGCGCCCGGCACTGGCGTCTCTGCTGACTTGCCACGCTGCGGCCACCGTCACCTAAGAAGAGGCTCCCTTCTTCCGGTCACCTTGGTCGGCAAGCCATCGCTTCCCGTGAGAAGGAGCTTCCGCCCGGTGGTGATGGGCCCCGAGAGAGACTATGGCTCATCATTGCCGGCGACCTTGAGGCGACTATCGCCTCCTCGATCGACATCGTGGAGAGATCCAGCAGAGACTCAATCGAAGCGAGCCATCCGCTTGTACTTCTCGGGGACGCAGCGGAAGAGCTTTTCGACGACTCTCTCCTCGCCGTAGGTGTCATCACCGAATCGCACCATCTTCGCGCAATGAGTGTTGAGACGGAGAGCAAAGTCATCAATGTCCTCACCGGCTTGAAGGCCGATTCTCCCACTCCTTGCGGTGCCGCGGTGTGGACTTGCGGGCGCGGTGGCCGCCGGCGCGCGTCTTGCAGTGATGATGGCGTCCCAAGCCTCCTTGGCGCCCGGTTGTTGGTAAGCGAGAGCGATCTCGGGCGGGCTGCAAGGCGATGAGGGCATCCAAGCCCGTCGATCTAGGTCGTAGTCGACGTCGCCCGTCACGGACCGCCTCCCACATGTGCCGCGACTGGAGCTTTACCCTCATCACCACACCCACTCGGCGAAGTTGGTCTTGGTGAGGGTAGGCCACCCACCGTCGGGGCCGACGTCCATGACAACAGCCTGAAGCCCGTGGTAACCACGGTACCGATCCGGGAAGAGAGAGCCACGCTGCCTGTGAAGGCCGCGCTCTCCATCGATCCGTCGGTACCAATCCGGGGAGAGAAAGCCACGCTGCCTGTGAAGGCCGCGCTCTCCATCAACCCGTCCGCCACCGTTGCCGTGCGCGCCTCCGCCAGGAGCGCCACCGCCATGCGCGCCTCCTCCAGGAGCGCCGCCGCAGCGGCTCCGCACTTATGCTCTGGCTGCGTCGCGCTCGCCCCGCCCTCCTCCACGAGAGCTCGAGGTCCGTGGCTAGCCGTCGCGTGCCAGTAAACGATCTTTGTCATGTGATGCCGCCTCGACCCTCTGCGCTCGCCCCGCCCGCGTGGCCAAGACGCTATTGACATTCGCCTCCGCCGGCTGCCGCCCGACTGTCGCCGCCGGCCCGCCACCGACCTTCGCCGCCTTACCGCCGCGGCCGGTATCTCTGCCGCCGTTATCGCTCGCGTTCTGCTCGCATGGCAAGTTCGGCCTCGCCGACGCTTGGCGTGCTCGAGGCGACCGATCAACGCCGAGGCGCCTGCGGACATGACGCGCTCTACCGGGGCTGCTGCTGCGTGGGGAGAGGGTCGCCTGAGGAGCCGCCGCTCGTCTGCCTGAGGGAGGAGTGGAGGGAGCGGCCAAGTTGCTCTCTTGCTTTCATTTGGGTTGTTGTGTGGTGAGCAAGGAGATGAGCAGAGATGCTCAAAGCTACAGGATAGTACGGCTCGATACCGGTTGTTAGTCATTGAATTCTCACTCTTGGTAGTAGCAGAATTCTTACTCTCATCAAGAGAGGACGACACTAGGAGTTAGGACAATTTTCTGGTTTATTTCTCAATGTCATGCCAACCTGAGGGGTTGGGGATACATATTTATAGGCTGCTAGCCAGCCAAGCATATGCCAAGATGCTAATCTAAGATGCTAATATGCTGTCCTAGCTAAGATGCTGTCCTAATATGCTGTCCTAGCTAAGATGTTGTCCTCCAGTCAAGGAGATGCTGTCCTCCAGTCAGTTGGTGTCCTCCAGTCAGTCAAGGAGATGGACAGCCACAAGGACCTGCAGCCACCATATGCTGCAGCCAGCCCCACAAAGACCAGCCAGCACATGATACTTATCCATCAGGAATATAAGGAAATGCCATAAATAAAAACATGGAGTACTTATGTACATCTTATCGACAGTGCCATTGCATAGTAGGCAGCACAGAGTAACAGAAAACAGTAGTAGGTCGAAACTCATAAGCAAGATAATTGTAAGAACAGTTGATTTTAGAATGTATGAAATAGTGGAACAAAGTTATCCAGGTAGAAAATAAACTAAGCCATACTGTAGATATATAAATACATATAGAAGAATTGAGTGTGTGTCACACACATCATGTTAGAAATATGATGGGAGGAGACATTAGCCAGCAAACATATGTTTCAGCACAAGTCTACATGCCAGTTATCTTGTATAAAGGTTTTCAAGGGCATGCGTATCCATTTCAAACATGGAAGCCATAAAGATTAAGCGTTAGAAAAAGCAACCCACAAAGGTGGAAGCACCTTACTTGCACCATTTCATTGACAAAGCTAAAACCTCCAGGCCCAATTATAGATCCTGCAAGTAGATAACCTGTAATCACCTGCAATATACTTTGAATTGTAGGTTCACGTAGCTTAACCTTAAAAATACAACATTTTGAATAGACAAATTATGTTTCGAGCTATTAATAATGATACACAAATTAGAAGAAATAAAAGTACAGATACTCACCGGTTGCCCAAGGCAAGCAAAGGCGATTCCACCACATGTAGCAGACACGATAACAACTACAAGATCTGATATCAATCTACAATAATATACATTCAACAGATAAGTTTCCATGCAAAAAAGATATTTTCATCCAACACTTCAAATGACTGAATACTGAGTTGCATACCTAAGGTCCAGCTGCAGCACAGGGTATTTTGACTTCGGGTTTGATATGATAAAAACATTATCCTGGGGTAAAGATTGGATTAACACAAAACTGTTATAAAAAATGGTCATAACATGCCCACAACACTATGCCAACATGTATGGCACATGCGCAGTAACTTGACAGAAAATTCCATCCAGAGGATGTGATTGCACCTTCCGATCAATCAATGTGGGAACATCCTCTTGCTCAGATCGATCCAAGAAAACCTCATTAAAAGGAAATGACCTGATGGAACAGAATGACAACTTTAAACTCTATTGCACATTCTGAATCTAAGGTTAATTTCATCTAGCAGAAATAACGAAGAGTGGATTTACAGCATACTTGTTATCTTTGGTTTCATTCTTCTTTGTTACTCTTCTAGCCACAGTTTCAAGAACTCCCTGGTACAAGTACAAGGAACAAGATGAGCAGTTTGCATTACATATCTGTGATGTGTAAGCACCAAATTTTCTAAGTACAGGTAAACACAACGATGCATTAGAGTACATATATGCACTTCAAGTTTTCCAGTATCCAAACAAAGGACCACAGACCACTATGTTATTGTCTGAGAAAATAGATGTTGCGACATCTTGTTTCTTGAACCCAATGTGTATCATGCAGGTTATTATATGCTTTAAATTAAAAGATATACTCCCTATGGTAAAAAAATACTTGTTGCATTTGACTTTGCAAAGCCCTCGACACATATATTTGATCACTAATTTCTTTTAAAACAACATTCTTATAATCCTTCAAATTTCTGAGATTTTGCAAGTATTTTTCAATCAATTCTACACACTTACATGTTTCAATCTAAATAATTTAAAAGTTACTGATGTTTATAGTTTTTAAGGTTTGACTAACTCTTGCCCGAGAAAATATGTTTCTATAACCACGAGTATTATTAAGAAATAAGGAAGTAACAAACATGCTAATGGGGATCTGAAGTTTTGAAATGAGCTACTCAATGTAGCAGTCATGTAGGAGATCAAACATGAACTCCAGTAGGGAAACAGAACTAGGATGTCCAAAACTAGATTTTTTCTGTAGCATCTTAGGAACACGATAAACAAATAATCGTCTTCAATAGTAGCTAATGGGCACAATAAACAGTCATACTAATTACCGCTCATGTGCACAACAAGCATAAAGTCATACTTATTATTGCCAAGCATAGCACAAAATAAACAACATCAAAGATATTGGTGTCCCTCATCAGCACTAGGAAAATGCCAATCAAACAACATAAAGCAAAATGGCCATATAAACCAGCCAGCCAACAGTGTTTTTCTCTCACAACATGAAGCCTGTTCGCTTGTTGGTTTCAGCCAGCCCAAACCAGCCAGCCAACAGTGTTTTTCTCTCACAACAAACCAGCATCGGCCAGCCCAAACCAGCCCAGAAACCAACCAGCGAACAGGCCAAAAGGGCCCAAAAGCTATACAATGATGACATATGGATGGGTCATTGAATGCTAGTAGATTGCAACATAAATACACTAGCGACAGCATCAAGGCACCATAGTAGATTACTAGATTCACAAGTGTAGGAATCAGGCACAGGTCAGTCCAAAAGCGAATTTCCTTCCATTCACAAATTCCAACATGCAAGTAGTGAGCAAATCACCCAAAACCTAGTTGTGGCAGACCCAATGTTGAATCCCAGAATCAAAGACTCAAGCTAAGAAAGGGGCAGCACACAAATAAAATGGCGCAATGAACTCACCTGCTTCTCAGCCACCGTGTTGTTGAAGCTACCAGGATCGGTCTCTGCAAAACCAGAGCACAGATTAGCACAAGCAACTCCAAGCCCAAACCGGGACCTCCATTCTCAACGCCCCCACACGCTCCAACCACCGAGGCCGAGATCTAAACAGCACGGCCACCGACACACGCCACCGCCCCCACCCACACACCCGCCCCAGAACCAGATCCCGCGCCTGAACGGATCGATGGATCCAGGGAGTTGGCCAGATCCACGCACCTCCACCGCCCTGCTCGCCCTCGGACTCCGGGAACTCCTTCTCCAGCGCGCGGTCAATCATGTCGGCGAGGCTGCCCTCCTTGGCCTCCGTGGCATTGCCCTGAGCCACCACCTCGCCGCCGGCCTCCGCCACGGCCACCCCATCACCGCTCGCCTCCGCCTCCGCCTCCGCCTCGACCTCCGGCTTCCCCGCGCGGCCCTCGTGCCCAGCGCCGCCGCCGCCGCCGCGGCCAGCGGCCTCGGCGGCCGCGGCGGGGGAGAATGCGACGGCCGCAGCGAGGAGCAGGCCGCAGACGAGGAGGAACGGGAGGGGGAAGGAGGAGCCCGGGTGGTTGCTACGGCGACGCGGCAGCATCGCCGGCGAGGGGGTGGGGGCTTTGGCAGGCGACCAGGCGAGCGGGCAGCGCATCGGAGTCCGTGTGGGGGCTGACCGGCCGTGGCCGGTTCCGCTGGGGTTTAGATTTTCTGGAAGGCGAACGGAGCGTGGCGGTGACGGCGTGCGCCGCTCGTGCCGGGGAAGGGACGCACGCGCTCGCGCTCGCGCTCGAGCTCACGCTCGCGTACGCACACGCAGGTGCAGACGCAGAGAGAGGCAGAGACGGGGGTGGATGGAGACGCTTGCTTTGTTGGTGACTTCGCCTCCAAGTGAGTAACGAGGCAAAAGCCAAAGCCCGAAGTGTGTGTTGTAGTGTTGTGAGTTCGTGACCCTGTGCCAATTTGTAGGGGTGTTTGTTTTGTTTTATATGGAGTTAGTTAGGTTCTCACTCCATCAATTTACATGTTTTATTTCATCGTTTATAAATGGATATAAGCTATTCCTTCTGTTCCAAATTATAAACCGTTTTAACTTTTTTTTAGATATATTATTTTAGCCTATGTCTAGATAAATGATAAAAGCTATGCATATAGAAAAACCAGTAACTTTAGTTTAAAATAAAGAGAGTACGTATGTATGGAGTTGCATCTGATTGGACATTTGTCACTACTATTCCAACAAAGCTATCATAGCAAGTGCAGGGAATATTTATGGTATATGTATCTCTATGGCGAGTGATTACGGCTAACAAAGACAAAGACTTAGTTAAGACCTTGAGAGACTTTGCTCCCGTGGTGTAATAATGCAAACACACTAGCTTTTATAAATTGCATCTTATTCTCCCGTATATGATATATGAGAGAATAAACAATGAAAACTAGGTAAAAATATGGAAGCCACTTTAACCACCACGCCAGAAGTTATGATGAAAACTTCTAAAATGCAACTATTTCAGTTTTGAGGATTAGACTTAGCTTCATTTGTGAAATAATCTCTTTAGATTTAAATATATGATGTTTAGGACCAGCTAATTTTGTTGTAAATGAACGCGTCGTCTACCACCGAAACAACAACATCATCTAGAAAAATATAAGCACCCCACATGAAGTTGAGGACGGGCAGATTTCACCACAAGAAACTCAATCAACTGAACTAGACTCAGTTCACACGATGTACCATACTAGATTACATGAAAAATGAGACAATACATTTCTTGGTGGCTACCACTACGACTAATAATGTTCATTAGGATGTGTTTGCCTGTTGAGGGTTGTTAGCCTTGCTAACGATATCGCTTGCCACTCGCAAACGATTTGATGTAGCAGGTCTAACAACCGGTTGTACCAAAATTCCTGTTGTCTTAACGAAACACGGTTCAACCCCGGTTCGTGAAAAAAAAATGTTCATAAGGTGACGTTTTTCACACAACGATACCTGAGCGAATTCATTTGGTCCTTTTTTTCTGAAAGTGAATAATTTGGTCCTCCTTCGGTGACAGTTCACATGCTCTGCTCGCGATCACAACGATGCCTACTGGGGCAGCAGCACTTGCCGGCGGTTGCATGAGCGCTCACTCCACCATCGTCTCCGTCTCCACTCTCCAGGAGGATCCAATCGCCGCTTTTTCGCTGTGGTCGTCACTGCCACCGCACTCTGCTTTTTTGTTGGAGGGAGAGAGACCGGGAGAGGGCCGAACTATCTCCAGTAATGCAGCATGGAGAGTGGTGGCGCCGTAGCCGTGGAGGTGGAGGGTGATGATACACGGCCGAATCACCGTTAGATACAGGAGCACTACTCGTTGGTTGAAAGCGAAAGAAAACTGGTGCTTCCCCGTACTGCAGTTGAACTACGCAGAGATAGGAGGAGGACGGTTAGTGGACTAGCGCACGAGCAAGTGGTGATTATAATGATGACATACTATTTGGTACTCCGCTCATTACTATAAAAAGAACAATTTCTCCAATTTTATCAACAAAAAAAAATAATGTGCGGTGCAGGTAAAGGAGAAAGCAGCGCGCCACTTGGATCGCTAGCAGTAGCTGCCTCGGTGCTCGGTCGCGGGAGCCGGCCAGGCCTCACCGTACCTCAGCTCAGCACCAGGTGGGCATGAATGCATGATGCTCGATGGTGGCCTCTGATCTGGTTTGGCCACAGTCCACTTCCTGGTGGTCAAACGCCCAACTTCAAAGTTGAAACCGGCCGCGATGCACGAGCCTAAAAGAGCCGGTCGTTTTTCACAAAATATGGAAGAAAATAATTAAAGGTCGCTTTCAGACCTGGTATTTTCAACTTGTGGCCTGGTCTCTCTTTTCTTTCCCTTTCCCTGTTTTTTCCCCTAATACAACAATAATGAAGAGAAGAAGAGGAGAGTATATATACTCTTTTACATCTCTAGATACGATTCCTGCACCAAAAGCGGGCTAACGGACCGGGCCACGTCGCCCGTTAGACCTTGAACCGTTGGATCTGGCCAAGACGCGATATGGAACGTCAAATCGTGGATCGGGCGGGTCCCCGTCCGTCGCGCCCGGTAACAATCCTGTCGCATCCTCTCGCTTCGTCTCGAATTCTCGATTCAGCCTCGCCTGCATTCGCGTCGCCGCCGCCACTCCCTTCCGCGCACGCGCGGTCCATCGTGCTCCGCTCACGGATCGGCTCCGTCCTCCACTCTCCTCTGCTTGCCGTGCCGCAACCTGGCCAGCAGGACGCGACCGCCATCAAGCGACTACAAAAGCGCCTGGCGTCGCCCCGACGAGGTAGCGCGACCGAGCCGCAGAGAGCGTAGCTCCCGACAAAGGCGGGCGTGGGCCAACCGACGCAGGCGGTGCCGTGAATCTGCTATTTGGAATTGCTGCTGCTTCTCGCCTCCCGTCGTCTCTACATCTCCAACCACGGGTCACCCCACCGAGTGTTAAATCGTATTGCCGCGACATGCCGTGTGGCTTCGTAGTCTGCATTCGTGGGGTTGGATTGGGCGCACCCTACCGTGCTACCACACATCTTGCGGAGTAATGTCTTGAGCTCGATGATGGACACTCGTCGCTCTCTACTCATCTTGGCATCTTGCCTTGCACGTTGCAGACAGAATCGACAAGTTTGCTTCTTTCTTTCGGTTTCAACAAGTGTGCCCTTACACAGATTTTGAGCAGTTAAATCTATGCCATTTGCAAATCAAATTATTCTTCTCAAGGTACATCATGGCTTGCCTAATTGTTTCGCAGAGTTCTAATTGATGCCTTGGTTCTTTATTTGACCCCAACCATGTTTGCAGATTTAAGGTCTGACTTCTCACCTTGAGTCGATAGTAAGCATTCACAAGAGCCTCGACCCTAGAGTTAGCACCATGGTCGAGCAATTTGGATCCTCGTGTTCACATTCACGGTACTTACCTCCATTCTTGCAGAATTTGGACTTCTAGCATTGTTAATAACTAATGGCCTATCAGAATAAGTGCCGATTGATGTGGCAAGATTTTCTTTTTGTTGAGTTACAAAGATGAAATCTCATGGAACATCAGGACCAGGAAACAGAAGTGGGGTCAAGAAATCTAACGAGATGTAATCTTACATTCTGAGTCACAATCTCCTGACAGCCCTCGAGATTAGGATTGTGACAGCAATGACCTTGAACGAAAACAGGTGAAATTCTATTATATCTTAACAGGCTCCTTTTTCTTTTCTTTTTTGAGAAGTTATTTAGAAACATACTTTCTGTAGACCCACTCTTAAATGTGTATTGTTCCGTCAGATAATAAGCACACAACCTCTTCAAACGACATTGAAAAGAGAGCCAAATATAATGGATGACCATAACAGAGAATTAAAGAGGCAAACAATCAAATGATCAGTCACAATATAAGAGTCATTTCCTGTCTGCACTCCTTTATGAATATTTTGAAATGCAAGATGCTAATATGATCTTGAACACAAATACAGAATAAACAACCATGGGTCCATAGTCAGCACATGAAAATGTGAATTTTGTCATCCTTTCCAAGTCACTGAGATTGGTCTTGCAGAACTTTAATGTATACTTGAAGAATCTAATCCAAACTATAACTTACAGTGTACTGGCTCTTTGTCACGTTATGTGAATGGGGAGCCGGTAGAAGCTAACCAAGCATGGAAATCAAATGTTCAGCATGTCCACGGAAAATGCATTGAACAGTATGTTCCTGTTAACTGTCATGATATTTCTGAACGAACATGTACTTTCTATTTTCATAGCTGCATTTTTGCTATACCTGATTGTGCCTTCTCATGGCACCTTTTCTCCTAATTCCCTAGACCATCTTCCGATATATAGCTCTATATTTTACCTTTTGACTGAAATCTCTTATTATCTGTATTTATGATAAATCACATGACAGATTCATTTCTTCTCTTCCTTCCACAAGCTCGTTTAGATCAATATTTATATAAGGATATTACATTTTGACATATACACATATATGTCAAGTGAGTCATCCTGCTTTATACTTCTAGCCACTGCATTTTGACATTATATACATGTTAGGTGAGTCATGTCATATACTTGTAGCCACTAAT